CTTGAGCCGAGGTTCCCGCCACTCCTCATCTTCATCGTAGGTTTCTCGTTCTTTCTAAGGTTGAACCCATGGGCCCCTAACATGGGCCCTTAGGGGATTCTAGGGTCCCTTAAGGGTATATATATATATATAGGGTATATAGTAGGTATACTAGTTTCTTATTCTTTCTTGTACATGTGGGTGGTTTGTCAAAATTAGGGTTCCTTTTTGGGTCCTTATTATAATACGGGGTACCTTATTTTGGGTCCTTATAATAAGGGTCCCACTATGTAGGGTGCTATATGTTTCTCATTCTTTCTTGTACATGTGGGAGTTTCCGAAAATAGGGGACCCTAATATAGTACCCTATGGGGGTTTCCGAAAATAGGGGACCTTAATATAGTACCCTAAATAATGGGATCCTTATTAAATGTGACTGCAGCTCAAACTACCTTGTTAAGGAATTTAAGTTAAGTTACCATAGTAGGGATCTATAGTAAATAATATGCTTTGTTTATTATGGCAGCAGATATATGGGGGTTTCCGAAAATAGGGGACCCTAATATAGTACCTAAATAATAGGATCCTTATTATTGTGACTGCAGCTCAAACTACCTGAAAAGTATGACCATGACATGATTGCTGAGATGCTTCACACCATTGTGCATTCTTTGCTGACGTATGTAGACTCATTTGTTTGCAGTTCGACGTGCAGCCGCTTTGCAGAAGGCACCGCAGCAAATCGTCAGCCTTCTGGACAGCACGACCATTGCAGGCCGAGAGTCTTGATATTTCTGCACGAGCAAAAGCGATGTGTATGAGAAAAGACATGGAGACCAAGAATAGACACACGCACGCGCACGCACACACACACACACAGACACACACAGACACACACAGACAGACACACACACACACACATGCATGCACTGCCTGTCCGTACTCATGAATGTCAAGGCACACACACACACATATTCGTGTTAGTGTGTGACATATATATATATATACGCATACATATGCATAGGTTATTTATGTAGACATATGCATAGGTTATTTATGTAAATACCAGAATATAAAGTAATGTATAGTATTATATGATATGGTATGGTATCATATCATATCATATCATATCATACAATATAATAACATATCATATAACATAATATAACATAGTACAATATAGCATAATATCGTATAATACAATATGATATGATATGATGTGATATAGTATAACATAACATAATATATTATAACATAATACAACATCATATAATATACTTTATATACATGCATACATACATACATGCATACATACGTACATACATGTACATACGGACGGACAAACGGACAGACAGAAACAGACATGCGCAACATCGGCTTGGGACTCGGGAGCGTGCAGTTCAGTGAAGGTGTTTCCTCCATGGTGTCGACATCTGCATTCATCAGCTCGGCATTGGTGCCCTCGACCACCTATGTCTACGCCCTTCTCAGTCTCGTGGCCGTGGAATGCTGGTTAGACTCCTCGGCTTAGGCTTCGTCTTCCAATCTAGATTTGTGTTTGATTTAGGGTGCGAGGTGTCTGTATAGTAACGCTATGCAGCTACTCCGGCTTAGCCTTGACGTGGAACCCAGGCGTCTTAGATTTGTGTGCAAGCCCGCTGAGGTGCGAGAAACGCCTCTCATCTTGCCATGGGTGAGCAGTCCGCCTCCCTGCAAGACGCAGCCATCTACGGCATCCAAGTCTCCCTGCCAGGGCCTTGGGCCCCGGGCACGCACCGGCATGTCACTGCAGAGTTGCCCAAACCTAAACCCTACATTGACGTGAAAAAGCGAGGACTCCAGAGGCCTAAACCCTAAACCCAAGCTCCCCTGCAGCACGAAATCCCTTGAACTCCTAAACCTCAAACTCCAAAGGTATAGCATATTATAGTCTGTCTAGGTCCTAGTCTACCACAGTATAGTGTAGTATGTCATGACATGGGGGAACTCCAAAGGCCATGGGGCTCCCATGGACCCAGAAAGCCCAGGTCTCTGCCCTTCGTGGCAGATGCTGCGCCTTCCTCGGGACGTGCCTTGGTGAGCCCCGAGATCGGTGAGGCCCTGAAGGAAAAGTTCCGACTGGCCACAGAGGAGTGGTCTGACGAGGAGGGGGAGTTTCGGGTCGAACGTGGAGGGTCTTGATAGAGCTCTATCAAACCCCGTGAAACTTACTCAGGACCCCGATATTCGGGTTTTTCGGGGGGGTTCAAACTTGGTTTTTGGCCGGTTTAGCTTCTGGCACTGATTGGCTTTCCACGGTTTTAGCAGCTTTTTTATGATGTTTCGGCAGTCTAAGGGTTGGCGTCCTGGGTTTGGGGGCTGCTTCCGATCCTTAGCGAAGTGTCTTCGTCACATGCTGGCAGTAGAGACGAGATAGGAGATGTCGTGGCATAGTTCGGGTTCGGTTGTGCTGAGAAAAGACATTCCTGTTTTACGTAGAGCTGTGAGGGTTTTGCCTCGATGGTGTTCGGTCCGTGGCGTTCTGGACGACGAAGCCTCAACATGTGAGCTCAAGACAGGATGCATCTACCCTGCGCTATGCGTTCTACATCTTCCCACTTGGCGATACCTACTCAGTGACGGAAGGCCAGTAGTGTCTTTTCAGTTCGATGGCTGGACACGTAAGCGCAGCAACGATGGCTCAACACCGTTACACTCAGATTTGTGAAGATCCTAACGCCAGAGCTCTGACAGCCACAATGCCAACAACCAAGAGTTCCAAAGAGTCAGAGTGGTCAGGGCAGAGAATCACCATACCGACCACGTCAAGAGTCATTAAATTGTCAACTTATCAAGTTGATATGAGCAGAAGCGGTGAGAGGACCGCCGGCATTCGTAGGCAACAAAGGTGTCAAAATCACTACCACCCATAAGTATCATCATGTTCACAATCAACCAGGAGAAGCACAAGAACCACGACAATCAAGCCGATCATGGCCGTTGCCAGCATCAGGGTCAGCACCATCATCAGCATGGCCATCATCATCATCATCATCACCATCATCATCACCATCATCATCACCATTATCATCACCCTCATTATCATCACCGTCATCATCATCATCATCAGCATCATCCCATCATCGTCATCACCGCCATCACCACCACCACCATCATCATCATCGTCATAATCATCATCGTCACCATCACCATCATCACCATCATCATCGTCATCATCACCATCATCACCATCACCATCACCATCAACACCATCGTCATCACCATCATCACCATTATCACCATAATCACCATAGTCACCGTCACCGTCACCGTCATCATCATCATCATCACCATCATCATCACAATCATCATCACCATCATCACCATCATCATCACCATCATCACCATCATCACCAGCATGGTCATCATCCCCATCATCGTCATCACCGCCATCACCACCAACATCACCATCACTAGCAACATCATCTTCTTCATCGACATTGCCATCGTCATCGTCCTCCTCCTCCTCCTCCTCCTCCTCCTCCTCCTCCGCGTCCTCCAGATCCGGACCCCGTCATGGATAGCACCGCCAGCAATCGGAGAGTCGGGATACACATCGTTTTCAATTCTATTTGTGGTAGGCAGCAGTCCCCAAACCGCAGTACTCGTAGATACCGGTCTCGCAGAGGCTCAGATGGAAGCGGCTTGCAGTCAACACCTGCCTTCCAGAGTCTTGGCAGACGAAGTGTTCGCTCACCAGGCTGACAGAATCAGGAATCGATTTCGGGTTCAGGCTAGGCGCCGGACAAGGACCAGTATCACGTTGAGTGCCATCATGTTCGTCGCTGCACTGAGACATCAGAAGCATCGAATCAACCAGCAAAGTAATGCAAATGACGCTGCTGCGCCGTTTCTGCACGGGTTACATTGCCCCGATGTTGGACTCAAGCCAATGCACTAGACTCCCAACGACCTTTGACCCATGATTGGGATCAGATCCCACATATTCCGACAGCTCGAGGATGCCAGAGATTGAGTGGAATGATCCCTCGAGCGCACAGCACCTTGCCTGAACTCCGTGCGGCTTTCCTGCGCTTCGGTGTTGACATCGCTGGGTAAATAACCTACATGCACTATTAGTGTGGGAAGACCCTCGCCACAGCCCGGATCGAAACTAGGATCTCAAGCAAAGAGTACGAACAGGAGAAAACTGGTGAACGCAGTCAAAGTTGTGACCTTAGTCGCTGTCATCCCACAGTCATCCTCCCCTCGTCATTGTCAAACCTGAGCTAATCTAATGTCAGAAAGGAATGGCAGACCAAGATCTGCTGGGCTGTTCTTATGCATTCCCACTCGCATTCTTCTGGCTGCCACCAGCCCTGAAGCAGACACCGACAACAAACACGGTATGTTGGGGACCTGGGGACGATGTGCCTTCTGCTTCCAGCAACGGCTGGAGTCTTGCCACGGTTGACCGTATCCCGATGAAGCAATCCCAATATTTTTCCAAAGACAACCCCAAATCCGAAGCCCTATAAACCCTATAAGCCCTGAAAACAAGCCCTAAACCCTAAACCCAAATCTTAAGCCCCAAGATTGTCTCAGACCCGGAAGTCGCCAAGCCCTACACCGTAAACACCGTTAACCCTATAGGGTTTAGGGTTTAGGGTTTAGGGTTGAGGGTTTAGGGTTTAGGGTTTAGGGTCCCACATCAAAGGCATTGGCCCCCTACTTCGATTATCATGGTACCTAGTGGGTAAGAGTTGAAAGATTTGGGCAACTAATCACGCACGATCGTGTAACCCGGATCCATTAAGTAGGGCTCTAGATCCCATACAAAACTCTGGAAAACCTTGTAAAGCCGTCTAAAAACAACCCATACAGCCCGAAACCCAAAGCCTACAAGCCTATAAGCGCCCTTAAGAGGTACTTCACGAAGCTCGGTGGATCCCTGAACCCATACAGCACGAAACCCAAGCACCCCGATAAGCCTTTGAGGTACTTCACGAAGCTGGGTGGATCCCTGGTTGGCATCTTTGGCTCCTCCGCCAGCGTCTCCGGCCTGGATCTGGCAAGCGGAGCTTACTTCACAGTTGCCCGTGCCGTGGCTGAAGACTTTAGGGGCTCGGGGGTTTAGGGGCTTTAGGGTTTAGGGTTTAGGAGTTTTAGGGCTTTAGGGTTTGAGGTTTTTTTTTGGGGTTTTAGGGGTTTTGGGTTTAGGTAGGCTGTCTGTAAGAGATACTACAAGCGTCTGCTACACAGTTGCCCGTGCCGAGCTTGGCAGAAGACTTGCTCGGGTCTAGGGCGTTGCAGGTCTTGGTTGTGTTTTGTAGGCTTTCTTGAATACCAGGGACTTGTTAAGACTGGCAATGCAGACCCTACTAGTAAGGGTGACCCAGAGGACTGATGAGGAGTTGCGTATCAGAGAGTATTGCCGGCTGCGGTGGTGGTTCAGGTTCTTGAGCTGGAGGTGGGGGACTTGGTAGCCGTATTCGATGTGGCTTTAAGTCGCACGTTGGAATCCTCGACCTGCATACCCTAATATTTACCCTCTAGTGTTGCTGGCCTCGCCAAACGGAGAGGGCTCTGGATGGCGCCGTGTCCTGCCTGTCACAAGTTCAGTGGTTTGCGGTCGGTGCCCGTGTCAGGAAATGGTGCCCAAGTGGGAAACGAGTACAGTACTATAGTAACTTATTAGTATTATAGTAGTAGTAGTAGTAGTAGTAGCAGCAGCAGGAGTAGTAGTAGTAGTAGTAGTCGTCGTTGTCGTCGCCGTCGTTTGTAACAGCCATAATGGCGGCGATGCTAACATGGCATCTCCACGGCCTGACACCGGGGGCTTTCTCCGGACTGATGTTGTGTCCCAGGCCCGTGCAGAAACGCTTGAACCCAACAGCCTTGCCTGAACCATCGTGGTGGTCATGACTGATCGTCATCATATTCATGGTCATCGCTGTCGCCTTCAGTGCTTTGCCCACCTTTGAACCTGAAGGTGCCCGGGACCACCTCGGCGGCGCGGCCGCGGCAGCCGTGCTCGGGCCGTGGGTGAGGCAACCGGCCACACTCTCCACAGCCGACCTGACCAATGCACTGGCTGCCCAGATGCAAGATCAACGGAACAGAGCAAGATCTTTGGATAAGGTGTGCTAGAATTTATAGCGTCACAGGATGATCGAAAGGAGACGTGTAGTTACCTTGGAGTTTGGGATCTGAGTAGATGTTGGGATGCTTGTCGGCTTCGATTAAGAACGAAGGCCTATGCCTCCATAAGCAGCCTGAGTCTGTTGAAGGCGCTGGCGGCTTTGTGGAATCTTCCATGGCTTTGGATGATAGACTGAGTAGCTGGGGAAAGTTGCGGGCTGCCTCATGTAAACCCTAAAACCCTAAAACCCTAAACCCTGAACTCAACCCTAAAACCCTAAAACCCTAAACCCTGAAATCAACCCTAAAAACCCTAAAACCCTAAACCCTGAAATCAACCCTAAAAACCCTAAACCCTAAACCCTGAAACCCTAAAAACCCTAAACCCTGAAACCCTAAAAACCCTAAGCCCTAAACGCTGCAAACCCTCAAAACCCTAAACCCTAAACCCTGAAACCCTAAAAACCCTAAGCCCCAAAACCCTGAAACCCTCAAAACCCTAAGCCCTCAACGCTGGAAACCCTGAAGCTTCGGGAAACCCCCCATAGATCCAGAGAAACCCTAAACCCTGAACCCCAAACCCCCTATTTTCGGAATCTTGAGCGGATTTTTTGGGGGGCCCTCCGGGCTCTCTCTGCGAGTTGCTTGCAGTTGGCTGTTGGGCCGGCAGCGTAGAAGGTTTAGGGTTTAGGGGTT